TTACTAACATCCAGTTAGAAGGCGGCAACATTAAGAATGAAGAGATTCTCTGTAAGAAACCCATCACTCCTCTAAACATTGTCTATGTTGGTACAAAAAAGACCAAACTCACTATACTACATTAACATGACCTAGAAAACTTTTCCCAGATAAGTAACTTTAACTCAGAAGCCCACATATTATTTCCAAAGGTGGAGAAATTATATTCTCCTTTTGCAAGGATTTCTATTAAGTACCCTAACATTTTCCATTTTCTCCACATCTGATAAAAGCTACTGGAATACTGAGAATGAACATTCACAAAGCAAATAGGTAAGGGTTCAATATACATTTAGAAGAATTAAGACAATAACAGGAGAGGAAGCTAGGTCTAAGAAGAATGTGAAATTCTCAGATGCTTCACTATGTTTTAAAACATCCACAAGAAAAACAGGAAGATTGTTTTTTTCTACTCCACACAGGAACAGAGTGAATTTCCTTGAGGAAATTAAAATGAAGATTTGTATTACAGGGAAAAGGTACAGGTCTCTAATCTAGAAAAACAGTACTTTGGGTAAGAATCAAAACACCTATTCATAACAGAAATTATTTTTAATCCTAGTGCAAACCAGTTCAAGTTAGCTCAGAGAAAAGGTGAAATTTAAAACATGAATTTTGGGCAAGGGACAACAGCTCAAGTGATAGAGCACTCACACTCACCTGGCAAGCATGAGACCCTGAGTTCAAATTTAATTTTTTTAAATGGCATTTTAAGTAAACATGTTACCCATTTAACCCCATATTGTTATGCATGGGAATTATTTGTAAGAATTATCTTATTATAAAGATAATTCTTTATAAACTTTAATCTATCTGCGTCTTTAAGGCAAGGAAAACTCATAAAGCCATTCTAAATGCCCTTTAAGCAATGGGAATTAAAAAAAAAAAAGAGCAAAGAGGGTTTATGAAGATCTAGAAAAAGATGGCACGTGCCTTCAAGAAACTGATACATATGAAAATGTGGACTTAAAACTCAATCAAACTATTATAAAATAGTTTGCTCGTGGCAAAAGGCCACGAATAACAAGTTTGGACAGTTAATCTTCTAAATATAATTTAGGAGATGGTAAATTTTTTCTGTCAAGTTCCAGACAGTAAATATTTTCAAGCTTTGCAGAGTATGTACTCAACTTTATTACTGTAGTAGAAAGAAACCATAAACAATAATAAATGAAGCTGGCGATGTGGCTCAGGGGTAGAGTGCTCGCCTAGTGTTTAAGGCCCTCAATTCAATCCCCAGCACCAAGAAAAAAGAAAAGAAAAAAACAGAACAAAAATGCCTAAACAAATAGGTGTTCCAATATAAGCAGGGAGCTGTAGGGACTGCGGTTTGCCAACCCCCGATCTAACTGATAAGTTTAGGAATATACTGTGACAAGGGATTATCTTTTTGAATTTTGAAACTTACCTGACAATTGCTTTTTATCCCTTTTCCAAATCTCACATGCCAAAATATTTTATTTTGATGGTACTGGGGTCTGAACTCAGGGCTTTGTGCTTGCTAGGCAGGCGCTCTATCACTTGAGTCACACCTCCAGCTGAAATATTTTAAACTCTTTCCCATATGGCATATGTGAAGAACACCATTTTCAAATGTTGAGTTTAGTAAAGACTCATCTGTTGTTCCTTGAACAAATAGATACACAGATAAGGCAAAGGACATGTGAGGAAAAGAAAAATCATGCATGTTGTATCTGGAAAAACGAACAAAAACTTCCAGGACTTCAACTCCTTTCTGATTAAATGCCTTGCCATTATGATTAAGAAGACTTCTGAGTTGGGCACCAGTAGCTCACACCTATAAACTTAACTACTTTTGGGAGGCTGGGATGACTATAGTTCAAGCCAGCCTGGGCAAGTAGTTCCAGAGACCTCATCTCCAAAATAACCAGAGCAAAATGGGCTGGAGGTGCAGTGGAGCACCTACTTGACAAGTGTGAAGCCTTTAGTTCAAACCCCAGTCTCAACAAAAACAAAATAAAACAAAACAAAAACAAAAAACTTCTGTCTTTGCTCAATTCAATTTCCTTTCCATTATCTGTTGCTTTTATTTCTTTAAACTAGATCTTTTAGTCAAACAAAATATAGTTTTCACCAGGTAAAAGAAACACAACTAGTAAGTAACAACTACTACTTTGTTATTTCTTGGCCAAAGATTACTCAGCTATAACAAATGAAGTTTCCTATTTCATTCTTTCATCAGGCAACTTCCAACCAAAACCAGACTTCAATTTTGAAGTTGGGAGAAAACAGTCTATGTCTACTCTCATACCATCTTTGGAAAGCCCTGTTTCACTGATGAAGAAGAAACTGGAAACATGAAAAAAAATACCAAAACAAGAAAAATTTCCTTAGCTTCTATCTCTCCTCTTTTATAAACTTTATCCTTTATAAATGAAGTCATTCTGAAGTAGTCAAAATTAAACTCTTCAGTACAATAAAATGGTATAGGGGTAGTTTGTAACTTACATAAAGAAAATTCAACTCAATTCAGAGGTAAATATGGTTCTGAGCAAGAAAGAACAAATCATTAGAATGAGCCTTTCTGCCAAAGTACAGTGTTACTGTCATGCCAATGCTATATTTTATACTGGTATCAGAATTCTGAGGGAATAAGGTATATTTAGAATAAAATTAGATTAGCAAGTTGTCATCTCTCCTTTTGTTGAGAATACTGGATAGCTCCTCTGCTACTGAGTGCCATTCAGTAAATGAAAACAGTCCCACTGTTTGCAATTTTCATGGTATTAAGGTACTTAACAATGACTTAGCTCTCATTGCTAATACAGTTCCCCTCACAAGGTGACATGTGCAAGTTAAGGTTTGGTAATGATTTTCAGCACCAGCTGAAGTCCATTAAGTACATCCTTAAGTGGCATCCTCCATGCGCACACCAATATAGGTATTTGTTAATGTAGATAGAACGTAGTACTAACTCCTATGACCCTACAGTGATGTTAGCTAAGAACTAGGACAATGTCACAGTGAACTTGGATAAAAATCCTTGATGGATATTTAGAATAATATCTCTGGTAACTAAAATAGGGAAATTGCTTTCAGAGGCTTTGCTTTGTTTAAAAGCTAGCCTGGCTTGGACTTTCATGAATTTCGTGACTTGGCTAGGCCAATTAAGAAGAGAGAACCAGCAAACATGATTGTGCTGATGTGGTCCTAGATGACTGAAAGCATTCTATTCACAGTATCAATACAGCAAAAACCTATCAGAAGTGAATGAAAAAGGAAGGGGAACCCACCAAACACGCATAGCATTTCCACATGTATTCTAAAGTCCCTACTTCATTTAAGATGTTTGTTGCTAATGTTGGATGGAGGGTTGACAAATGCTGCAAAGTTTCTCTTTACAGAAAATACTGCACTTCACCATTACAATTTGGTAATACTTCAAAAGGCTCTATTTTGTCAAATATAATCTAAGAAACTAACAAAGCAATAAAGAATTTTTCAGCATACTACTTCTTAAAGTACGGTAACTTTTTTTTGGTAGGTTTAAAAGCTCCATCTAAAGCAGCATCTTCTGTACTTTCTAGCTTCCTGCCTATTTAGTAATGGCAAAATGTGTCCACTGAAAGCCTTGATTACCAGCTGAGAAGCTCCCTTAAGGATTTCAGCCAAATCTCAACTCTACTTTTTCTATACTACAGAGCACAGCCAATCCCTAAAATGGCTCTAGGAGACAGTTTTCACCCTACCATGCTGTGGCCCAAGTAAACAGCAGGAAGTCCCAATCTGTGTCTCCTAATGACAAAATAGAGTGCTGATAAGGGTTGGCTCTTATCAATTGATAGACTGCATTCCTCTAAAACATGAATTTCTATGCTTTTCCAGAAGAGAAAATCTTTCTTTAGTGATAAGATTGCAGCTATAAATAGATGTACAATTCTCAGATTGATTAAAGCTACCCTTTGGATTCTCATTTCTTATCATTAAAAAATGCCATTCTTTTCTACCCACCTTTCCACATACCACAAAGCATTCTCAAGAAAGGAGCACACAAGCTAACATTCTCACAAATGGCTCACCAATGCAGGTATGACCAGCCCCTCTTCCAAATTTCCTTTATAATCATCTATGCCTCTGTACCAAAACCATTATGTATTTAAATATTACAAAAAAAGCAATCAAAAGAAACTGTAGTTTTTTTCTCTTTTCTATGTGCACACTAGGTTGTAGGCATCTATTTGCCTGCATCCCTTAATATTCTTCCTCCTTTCTCTGCATGCAAACCAGGGCATCTAAAGCTGTACATGTTTGGTAAATTCTCTCAGTGCTGGATTAAGAATCTCAGAGAAACCCAGAATTATGAAAAAGGTCCCATGAAGTTTTAAAAATCTTAGGAATGATTAAGTAACCAAACCTGATAAAAATTGATCCCTTGATCATTTATTGCAACATGATTGTGCATGATGTTTCTTGTAAGTGCCCTGTAGTATATTATTAAAAATCAAAGCTCTTTGAGGCACCATCAATTTGCTGATGGCTGGTTTATGAATTACTATGTTTGCAGACCCGAGACATAGATTTAAGTGAGGTTCTTCATTGGACTGAAAATATAAGCTATGACATATATAGAAGGAAATGAAACTGTGGTTGCAGTAAGAACAACAGTGTTGAATTTCTTCAACTACAATATTGCAGAAAAAAATGTTTAAAATGTCATATAAAAGTTATCAAATATGGAGACCTGTGTATTTAAAAATACAACCCAGGATTATTTCACTGGAAAGTGACATTTCTGATGCATAATATTGCTGTTTTGTGAAAGTAGGAGCCAAAGAGACTAGATGAAACTTTGGTAGTCAGCCTAATAGGTTAATTCATCTGCACTAGAGCCATTCTCTAACACCCAAGGATGTATGTAAGTACTACTGTTTACAAATACCAGTTTTGAAGTTGTACTACGGCTCTATGCGATTCATTATTTTCAATACATAAAACACTTCCTTCCCTGCTCCTCTCTTCCTTACTTAGTACAACACTCAAGCCCCCAAATGTAGCAGTTCCTACTGCAAACACTTTGCTGCTCATTTCACTTCTACTTGCCTAAAGTGCTTCAGGTGATGCTGCCCACTAGAAAAGATAGCTGATGACATGAAACAATCAGGCAAAGTATTAGATGCCTAGTCAGGGCAAAGATAAAGTCTAACCTTTCAGAATAACAAGAACCACCAGTATTCATTCGGTTTTTTTCTTCTTGAAATGTGAAAGTGCATGTCTGGCAGGGAAGGACAAGGAGTGATTCCTCCTCCTCCTCATCATGACTACCTCCTCTCTTGTGGTTGGCTGCTTAGATGGTCAAGGCTCCTGTTGCACTTTTTAGATCTGGGCAATAACAGCCAAGATGATATGGACCAAAGTACACTGTTCAAACATGACTGGTAGATAAATGACGATTTATCAGTTTTGTTAAAAAAAGGTTTTTTTCCTTATAAAGTTAACAAACCAAGGCTGTTGATCCCTGAATTAGAAAGTTGATTTGCTTGATAATTTTTCAAAGTGTGAGGTGGGAAGGAGGAGGGAAGATCCTTTAGTGCATTTATGTATGTTGTTGATCCTCTAGTTTGGCAACATCTTGGGAGTATCTTCAGGTTTAGTGATGTGGTATTTTATGAATCTAAGTACCAGCCCATGGCCCCAATGTGGGCTGCTTACTGCCCAAAGGGGAAGAGGGTTTGCCCCCTCCCCCTCAATGTTTCAATCTGGCCCAGTGGTGGACACAGAGCCCTGGGTGGTTTCTCCAGGAGCAACCGTCTCTTCCTGTGAAGGTGACCCTTCTTCAGCTTGTCCTCGAGATGTAACAGTTGTTTCAGGAGAGATGCTGTGTGGCCCCTCCAGAGGTATACAGCCAGGGTGGTTTTTGCGAAAGTGCTGATTCAAGATGGCCTGGAAGGGGAAACTTTTGCCACAAACATGACAGTGAAAGGGCTTATTGCCTGTGTGCTTGCGGATATGATACTCTAGCTGATCTTTACGAGTATACTTCTTGCCACACATGCGGCAGACAAATGGTGTGATCCCCATATGCAAGCGCATGTGGCGGTCCAGACTCCCCTTTTGATTGAAAGATTTGGCACAATAGATACAAGTGAGACGGGGGTTGTACCGGAACCACCGCTCAGATACTTCCTGTTCTCGGAGATACTCCACATAACCACTTACTCCCATCATTGCTGACTCTTCTACCTGTGTCAGGAGAGGAAAATAAGAAAGGATAAACATGTACTATTAACTATACATGTTAAAAGCAATCAAATCTATTTTTACCTATTAATAAGATATATATACTTGTGTGTGTGTGTGTGTGTGTGTGTGTGTGTGTGTGTGTGTGTGGGGCTGGGGACTGAATCTAGAGCCTCTCACCTGCTAGGCAAGTGTTCTATCACTGAGCTATATTGCCAGCCTTTATATTCTTACTTTTAATGGAGAACCAAGCAGGAAATTGTTACCAAAAAGTTAAAGATATTAGGATAATTTAAGAAAAACCTAAGGACACTATTCCATTACCATAGAAGAGCAACACAATAAAGTTACTTTTTGGCTAACAAACTGGATGCTCATTAAACCTCTACTGCATGTACTATTTTTACAGCAACTGAAGAATGTCAGCCCACATATACCACACCCTGGATCCTAGTTTTGCAACTATATTCTAGATGATCAAGAACTTAGGTGGTACTGGGTCAAGAGAACTTTTTGTGATGACTACAGTATTACAGTACAACTGAGGAAGTGAATTTTTTATTTTGATTGCTTTCAATTAATTAAAAAATAAACTGCCATATCAGATGGTACAGAATGTGTAATAGCAAACACATGTAAATTACATTTATGACACTATCAGTATTACCATATTTTAACCAGCAGTAGCTAGCTTTATAAAAATATATACAATTTGGTTGGGTGCCGATGCCTCACACCCGTAATCATAGGTACTTGAGAGGCTGAGATCAGGAGGACTGCAGTTTGAAGCCAGCCCAACAAATAGTTTGTGAGCTCCCCATCTCCAAAAACAACCAGAGCAAAATGGACTCGAGGTGTGGCTCAAGTGGTAGAGCACCTGCTTTGCAAGCTCAAAGCTCTGAGTTCAAACCAGTCCCACCAAAAGACAAAAGAAAAAACAAAAACCACAAAAAATAAAATGTATACAATTTGTAGGTGGTAATATGCCTTTTGTATCTGCAAATACTGTGGCACCATATCAAGATACTATTTTTTCTTCTAAAGACTACTCAATGTTTTAACTGACTTTACAGTAAATTGGCTGAAGACATGGGTTTCTCCTATCTGAAAACTGAGAGGGAGTAGAAATACACAACTTTCAATGAATAATTTAAATGTTTTGGGTTGTGCTCAATTCGGTGGCAATTGAGCACAACCCAATTCATTCCCAATCATTGGAATGATACATAGAAGATTAGCATGGCGCCTGCACAAGGATGACAAATTTATGAAGCGCTCCGTATTTTTATCTCTTATGTTTTCTCTTCAACAAAATCAGAGAACAAGAGGGTGGAACATGTTCTGCTGGGAAGTGAGGGGGTGGAGGGAGTGGCCCAAACAATGTATATAAATGTGAGTAAATGTAAAAACAATAAAATAAAATAAAAGTTTTGTGTTTACAAATGCTTTTGGTTCAAAATTCTCTATTAAAATATCTACTTCCATTAAGAAATTGCTTATATTTTTTAGCCTGCTGGTTACTAAAATCTTTACAACTGATGGGCAAAGCTTTTTAAATATGTAGGAAGGAATTAACGTATTTTTAGCAGAAGCTAAAGTACCAATCCAGTAAGGATAAAATGTCACAGTTGACTCTCAATTAACTCGAGAAAGATTCATGTAACTAGTAATTTATTTTGTGCTTTTTAATTTCCAATAATGTGTTGTCTCCTCTTTCATGCAGTAGCTGACCATGCTCTTCAGCATCTCCAACAGAGGCAGTTCTCAACAAGTGGAAGCAGTATGTGAAGTCAAGGGTTGAGGTTTGAGATTATCTTTTACTTGTTTTATGTAACATTTTTTGCTTAATTTCCGTGGATTATCAAAAGAGAACTCACAAAAAGAATGAGAAATTATTCTACTAAATGACCACTTAGGTGACCAAAGATAAGGCACAGAATAACTTCTCTAAGGTTCAGTTTTCCCATCCATAAAATGAAAAGCTATCATACGTTTTGCCAGCTTTGTAGGATTTTCATGAGAATCAAACAAGGTAACAGTACCTTGAAATGTATTTTAAAAATTTTTATTTTTTTTTTAGTGGCAGAGTCTATGTTGCCCATGCTGGTCTTAAACCCCAAACTCAATCCACCCTTCTGCCTTAGCCTTCCATGTATCTGCATGCATCAACCATAGCCACTGCCTTGAAATACTTTGAATGTATCATGTCATTTAATAATTAATGGTGGTGGAACCTGGGTTCAAAAATTTTTTAAATTTCTTTTATTCATATGTGCATACAATGTCTGGGTCATTCCCCACCCCCCCGCCCCCTCCCTCTCCCTCCCTACTCCCTCGCTACCAGGCAGAAACTATTTTGCCCTTATCTCTAATTTTGTTGAAGAGAGAGTATAAGCAATAATAGGAAGGCCCAAGGGTTTCTGCTAGTTGAGATACGGATAGTTATACAGGGAGTTTACTTGCATTGCTTTCCTGTACATATGTGTTACATTCTAAATTAATTCTTCTCGAACTAACCTTTTCTCTAGTTCCTGGTCCC